TGGGGCCCCAGTTTAACGGTCCCGGGAGGCTGCACACACCATCCCCCCCCATGGGTCCTCCCATCCTGTTTCCCCCACCGTGTGCTCCCACAGGGTTCCCCAGCTCGGGGGGGGGGCCTGGGTTTCAGGACGGAAGGAGCCTCCGCGCCTGCGTTGGGGGTGCGCTCGGGGTTGCTTTTCTAACCGCCCTGACCATGTTTTGCTTCCGTTTTCTGTTGCTTCTGCCCTTTGCTTGCAAACCGCACAGGCAAGCCCGGTGAGTACCTGCTTCCCGAATGTGACACCCCCCCGCACCCAGTGTCTGCTTTCCCGCGTCCGTTCCTTTTGCTTTTGCGTGTTGGCTGCCCCCCCCCCCCCCAGTTTCATCGCGTTTTGCCTGGTAAAAGCCAGCGGGTCTCCGGGGACGGGGTTGGGGGCAGAGTCCCAGGTTGGGGGCTGGTTTCCTGATCTGAGGAGCGGGCGCTGCACTTGCGACTGTAGGACAAAAGCCGGGGTGTTCCCGCCGCCTGGGTCTCCCTGAGCCGGAGGTTCTGCTTTTACGAGGGGCGGGTGGGGGGAGGGAACCTGGAAATCTGGGCCCCTGTGTGATAAGCTCCCCACACAAGGCCTGTGCAGCGCACACACGCCCCACACCGGCCGGCATGGGTGCTGGACGGGGCGCGGGGACCCCGGCTTTGAGGCCGCTGAACTCAATGAATGAGAAGCACGCGGCTGCTGGCGACTTGGGAAACGCCTTTCCCTGCGTCTCCGCGTCGCGAGCAGGTCGCTGGCGGCTCTGTTCTGGCTAAATGTTCGCTCCCCTTTGTGGGTCCCGGCCCCCGACATGGCGCCGGTTCCGGGGCGGTGATGCCGTCGGGGCCCTGAGCGGGTTCTCGGGGTCGGAGGCCTCGTGCGGGTCTGGTTTGCTCGTCCCCGGGGCCGGGAGGGAAGCGATCCCTCCTCCGGGAAGGAGGCTGAGACCGAGGCTGGGGCCCGGCCGGGGTCACAGCGGGAGCTAGCAGCGCCCGGCACGCCCGGGGCCCAGACTCCGCGACTCTTCACTGCCTCGCGGTGGGCGCTCCGAGGCCGGGCCAGAGGGGACATCGGGCACCTTCCGGGCCTGGGATCCCGGGTGTGCTCCCCCCCTGGGGACGTGCCACAGACAGATGCCAATTCTCCCTCCTCCCCCCCCCCCCACGGCCTTTGGTGCATAACTGAGACTCGTTCTGACAGCAGTAGCTCCCTGAGAGGTTTTCAGGGACGCGACCTTCGTCTCTTTATCTCTTAAAATATGTCTGTACTGATGTCAGAAAGGAAGGGGGACGGGGAGAGAAAGAAACATCGATGATGAGAGAGAATCATGGATCGGCTGCCTCCTGCACGCCCCCCACTGGGGAGGGAGCCCACAACCCGGGCCTGTGCGCTGACGGGGAATCCAAACCCTGACCTCCTGGGTCATAAGTTGAGGCTCAGCTCCTGAGCCACGCCCGGCGGGCCGTCTGTTTATCGTGACCACACTCAAGAGGGCCCGCCCCTCCCCAGCCCAGACTGCGGGACCCGTCACTCTTGCCCAGCACACCGGTCAGTGGGGATGTTTTCTCTCCTACCTGTGGGTCTGTTTGAACCACCTGCGTCTTCTTCCTTAATTTTCCCCATCAGCGCAAAGAACCGGTGGCCCAACCCCTCCCCCCCCCCCCCCGTGTGATACTGCGCCCGTCCAGGCCCCGGAGGCAGGGCCCTGGGGTTGCTTCCTGGCGAGTCCGGGGGCTCAGAACAGGGTCTCGCTGAGTCCGAGCTGAGGCCTTGGCGCCGACGCCAGGCCCGGCTCCGGGGGCCCCATGGCTCCGTGCTCTCTCTCTCCCGCCAGAGGACGAGCAGCGGGAGAAGTCCGTCTCCCACCAGACGGTGCAGCAGCTGGTGCTGGAGAAGGAGCAGGCCCTGGCCGACCTGAACTCCGTGGAGAAGTCCCTGGCCGACCTCTTCCGGAGATACGAGAAGATGAAGGAGGTGCTGGAGGGCTTCCGCAAGGTGCGTGTGCGGTCGGGGAGGGGGGGCGGGGGAGTCGGATTGGCCGTCTGAGTTACGCCCTCGTCAGAGTTCCTGGGGTTCCCAGCGGCATCTCCTCCGTGGGCTCGAGATGGAACCAGGCTCAGAGAGGGTGTGTCACTTGCCCAAGGTCACACAGCTAGAGCTGGGATGTAGATAGATTATTTGGCTCCCAGTCATTTCTCAGGGGGACCCACAGGCCTTAAGGACCTCCTGTCTCTTAAAATGCCGTGCCCGCCCAGCCGGCGTGGCTCAGCGGCTGAGCGTCGGCCTCTGTCGCGGCAGAATGAAGAGGTGCTGAAGAAGTGCGCCCAGGAGTACCTGTCCCGCGTGAAGAAGGAGGAGCAGAGGTACCAGGCCCTGAAGGTGCACGCGGAGGAGAAGCTGGACAGGTAACGGGGGGCCCGACACGGCCCGGGTCGGGGTGCGTCGCTCAGCACAGTCCAGCCTGGTTCGTGATGAGCTTGCACTCAGCGTGGGCTGTGAGAAGCAAAGGGTGCGTCCGGGCGCCCACCAAAGCCCCTCGGCTTCGGACAGCGGGGTCGGGATGGGGTGTCTCGTGGGCCCCATGCTGGGCCTTTGTAGGTGGGAGCTGGAGCCAGACGGTCCCCCCGCCCGGTTGGGAGGAGGGAGGGGGAGGCCGAGATGGGGGAGGGTGGTCGTCCTGAGTGCCCCCACCCCGCAGGGCCAACGCGGAGATTGCCCAGGTCCGGGGCAAGGCCCAGCAGGAGCAGGCCGCCTACCAGGCCAGCCTGCGGAAGGAGCAGCTGCGGGTGGACGCCCTGGAGCGGACGCTGGAGCAGAAGGTAACGGGCCGGGGGCGTGGCCTCCAGCGGGCAGGCCGGGGTCACTGGGCTGAGGAACTGTCCGTTTTCAGCCTCATTTAATTATCGGAAAGAGAGGTCATCATCCACCTCTTAGAGAGGGAACCAGGCTCACCAGGCTCAGAGAGGGTGTGTCTTTTGCCCAAGGCCACACAGCTAGAGCCGGGATGTAGAAAACTGGGCTCTAACTTATTTCTCAGGGGGACCAAGAGGTCGGAAGGTCCCTTAAAATCCAATGACCGCCCGGCCGGCGTGGCTCAGGGGTTGAGCATCGACCTGTGAACCAGGAGGTCGCGGTTGAATTCCCGGTCAGGGCACACGCCCGGGTTGTGGGCTCCATCCCCAGTGCGGGGCGTGCAGGAGGCAGCCGATCCATGATTCTCTCTCATCATGATGGATGTTTCTCTCTCCCTCTCCCTTCCTCTCTGAAACCAATAAAAACTTTTTTTTTAATCTAATGACCATTCTGCTTGGCTTGACTTCAAACCACCAAGAGGTTTCAGCAGCCTTTTTATTTTCCGTCTTCACTTGCAGAATAAAGAGATCGAAGAACTCACCAAGATTTGCGATGAACTGATTGCCAAAATGGGGAAAAGCTAACTTTGACCCAAACGTTTGGACTTGACCGTTGCGTGCAATATGCCCGTCGGCACCCTGCTGTGCTCCCAGGCCGGGGACAGGCGCTCCCGCCGCCGCGTACGCACCGCCGTTCCCTCGCTCGGCCCCGGGGACGTGGTCGGCCGCAGGGCGAAGGGACCAGCGGAACTTCTTGCTGTGGGTTTGCGTTTTTCCCGGGATCGTTCATAGCAAGTTGACCTCAGAGTTCCCGCATCAGGGAGATTGTCCGAGTCTCTCACGGAGGACACGGCGCTGACCTTGGCCTTGGCCTCTGACCCTGAGCTCCCAGGGCGTGTGGCTCTTGGGTCTAACGTAAACACGTGCTGCTGCACAGGGACTCTTGCCTTAAGGAGTGTACACTTCACCTGCGTTTGCCGTTCGTTTTAATAAGAAAAGAACATGCATGTTTCGAATACAGTTCTCTATTGTAAATAAAAGATTTTTCTTTGGATCTTGGCAATGCCTGTGGTGAGGGTGGATTTCCTGGGAGGGGCCGAGCCTGCTGGCCTTCGTGCCGTCCTGTCAGGTTCCGCCTCTCGCTCCTTGTCCCCCGATTAGATGACATGTCCTTCGATCGTGGCCGTGGTGGTGGCCGTGGTGGTGGCCGTGGTGGTGGCCGTGGTGGTGGCCGTGGTGGGGAGTGGGAACCGAAGGGAGACGCTGACCTGCGGCTTCAGGAACTCGGCGACGTAGGGGAATTGGCCTGGATGTTGTTCTTACGTCTCTGCTTTAGGGCCAAGGCCTCATGAGGGGCCGGAGGTCCCCAGCGCCGCGGCTGCTTTTCTCCTCCTTGAAAGTCACGTCCATTTTTAAAGTGGGAAGCCCGTTGCAAACAGCCTTCCTTCCGTTAAGGTTCTGCCAGAATGGAACCCCACATCCCCAACACACACAACACACACACACACCCAACACCCAACACAACACACCCAACACACACCCAATACACACCCAACACACACCCAACACACACCCCCAACACACACACAACACACACACACACCCAACACCCAACACCCAACACAACACACCCAACACACACAACACACACCCTTTGGGGCATAGGCTCTGGCCCCTCCGGGTAAGGATGTGCCAGGGCCACACAGCAAAGTCGGCGGCATGGCTCTCAGTGATGCACAGCTCTCCCATTTTTATGTAAATCTTTTAATCAAACCACATCTGGACGCAGGCTGGGAGGGGCCAAGGGGCCAAGAGGCCGAGAACCTCCGGGCCAGCCCCTCCCTTCACAGAGGAGGCCGGAGGGGAGGGGGGGCAGGTTCCCACTGGCCGTTCTCGAGAACCTTCCAGGCCGCCCTGTGCTGTGAGGGGTTGGGCACCACAGAAAAGTGGGGTGACCCGACCGCCCCCCTAAGGAGGGAGGCTGAGGGGGGTGCCTGACCCCAGTGCGTGGCCGTGGTGGCTCTGAGGTGCGGGCAGCTGTGCGGAGACCAGGCCGGAACAGGAACTCTCGGAATGTCTGAGTCGCCACGGCACCCACAGCACCCAGGAAGCCGAGGGCAGCACCCGCCGGAGCACGCGGCCCCTGCAGGGAAAACAGCCAGCCGGGTGCCCGGTGCCTGGTGCCCTGAGCGCGCTTGGACCCAGCCTCGGGGGGTGGACAGCCCGCGACTCGGCCGATGCAGTGAGAGCGCCTCCGACGGACACGGACGAGCCCCCCTGTGGACGCACGCGGAGCAGTGAGTGTGGCTGCTCCTCTCCAGCCCCAGAGCCCTCACTGCTCCCACTGGCGCTGTTTGGGGGGCCTGGGGGGCCCAGGCCGGAGGCAGAGGGGCTGGGAGCCCAGGGGCCATCGCACTTAGCGAGTCTGTGATCGGCTGGTTCCATCCTCGGGAAAAGGGAAGAACCTGGTTGTCTTTGCTTTGCTTTCTCGGAGCCCCTGTCCCTGCAGAGAACTCAGACCTTTCACGGACCAGCCCGGCCGGCCGGCTCCGGGGTCCAGCTCGACCTGTGAGCCAGGTCACAGTTAGATTCCCGTCAGGGCACAGGCCCGGGCTGCGGGCTGGATCCCAGTGGGGGGCGTGCAGGAGGCGGCCGGTCCATGATTCTTGCTCATCAATGATGTTTCTACCTCCATCCCTCTCCCTTCCTCTCTGAAAGCAAGAAAAATATATTTTTTATAAAAGAAAGAAAGTGGAAACTTGGCCTGTTGTGTCTTCCAGGTGGTGCTCTCCCTTCCTGCCCCCGTGGAATCCTCGCTGTCGTCTGTGAAAATGTTGAATCAGGTGAGTGTGGGCTTCTCCTAAGGGCAGCGTGGCGGGATGTTTCTCTCTCCCCCTTCCTCTCTGAAATCAATAAAAACATAAAAAATTGATAGCTAGAACAGCAGACCTGCAGGAGCAGAAAGCAGATTGGTGGTTGCCAGGGGGTGGGGGCAGGGGCAGCGGATGGGGGGACAAGGTTTCCTGTGGGAATGAAATGTTCTGATTAGGGGTGCTGGTGGCTGGGGGTGCTGATGGCTGACAGCGCTGTCACGCACTGAAGGCCACTAAACCGACACCGGAAAGTGGACACGATGGTGGGGTCTCTGTCTTGTGTATTTTACCACAATTTACAAAAACCCAACGGCCGCTGGCCGGCCGCCTCCGCCTGGCCTCCCGGGATCGCGCTGTGGTGAGGACTCACACAGCAGCTCCTGGGGCGTCACCTGTGCTGCCTCGGGGTTCTCCGGAGCCACAAGCCAAGGAACACCTTCTCCCGGACGCTCAGCCCCGGCACCTCCTGCCCCACGTCCCCATCCCCGGAACCGCCTGACTGATACTGAATGGATTCGCCCTGCACAGAGGGCTCATGGGAAACCTGGCCACGTGGGCGTTAACCGCCGTGGAGCACGTCCTGGTTTGCTTCCGGCCGTGCCGTTGGAAGGGCTGGCATGCGTGTGCGATTGAGAAACCATTTTCTCTCTTGTCTCCCAAGAAGCGCCGAGCTCGGCCGGAGCGCCAGATGGCCGGCTCGACCAACCGGTGGCGCCTCCCCAGTGAGCCCTTCTCCCGGGACCTGCTGGCGCTGTCCCAGATGTGCAAGGCCATGTGCTTGGACGTGGACGACAGGCTGCAGGCCCCGGACAGGTAGGGA